CACTCCTGTGTATCCAACATCATAAAATTGCAACGCACTCGGTCGGCCCTCAAATATGGCAGGCTGAGAGTATGCTGAAACACAATTTCAAATATTGGGAAAGATAAATCCTTTGTAGACGACTTAAATACAAAACCAAGTGTTGTAAGCATGAGAGTAGTCTTTGCACTACGATCTGCTGAGATTTAGCTTGTGTTTTACGATTTGTTCAGCAATGAACATTTCTCCCCCCATCAACAATCAAACAAAGCAATCTAGCCCATCAAGCATTGTATTAACAATGCTAGGCGGCTTTGCTATAAAGGTGCGCAAGGCGTCTAGGTCACGTAAGAGTTTCGACAAGTCATTGGTTTCTCGCAAGGTAGCCTAAGTCGTCATAGTACAAGCTCAAATCGGCCAAGTGTTCAATACTTGGCCAGGCGACTCTATACACGGACCAAGGAGCTTTCATCAGTGCTACTACTACTTGTTGTATTTCAACAAGTGTAGTCGTGCTGATGAAAGCATCAGGGTGGGTACCAGGATTCTCTGCAAGTACTTAGCAGTAGGGTCTGCAGTAGGGCCAAAATTGGAGTAGAGCAATAATTTCAGGTTTTGGCTCTGCTGATGCCTGCAGGCATTCTAGTTGGTAGGTAGTAGTCCCTACTAGCGACTCCAAGTGTCGGGACATCTATCAGAGCTCTTGGTGAAATACAGGGCGAGTCCATGCCTGCAGTAGGGCCAAAATTGGAGTAGAGCAATAATTTCAGGTTTTGGCTCTGCTGATGCCTGCAGGCATTCTAGTTGGTAGGTAGTAGTCCCTACTAGCGACTCCAAGTGTCGGGACATCTATCAGAGCTCTTGGTGAAATACAGGGCGAGTCCATGCCTGCAGTAGGGCCAAAATTGGAGTAGAGCAATAATTTCAGGTTTTGGCTTTGATGATGCCTGCAGGCATTCTAGTTGGTAGCTAGTGGTCGCTACTAACGACTCCAAGTGCCGAAAAAACTATTGGCGTCATCGGCGAAATACGCCAGCAGTCGGAATTTGGGCCCACTACAGCCAGAACTTGTTTAGGGCCATAATTTCTGGTTTTGACTTTTATTTTTTTGTCACTGGTCCTAGATGGTGCCTATAGGTGCCTAGTAACGACTCAAAGCGTCAAAAAAATTATTGGGTCAATCGGCGAATTGATAAGCGAAAACGCGGAAATGAGCCCGTTTTGCGTGCATCCTCTACTGGCTTGCTACTGGAAAACGACGAGAATTTTGATTTTTTTTTTTAAAGTTTAATGTTTGGCCTTGGATCGTGGCGCCGAATAAAACTTTTTGTTTTATTACGCTCCCGCCGGCCCAATTCCACTACTGCCTTGCTACTGGGCGCGGCTCGGTTTGGTAATATTTTTTTGGAAAAATCAATGTTTGGTGAAAATGTTGCCTACTGCCTTGCTACCGGGCGGCGACCGCGGGAATAAAACTTTTTGTTTTATTACGCTCCCGCCGGCCCAATTCCACTACTGCCTTGCTACTGGGCGCGGCTCGGTTTGGGAATATTTTTTTGGAAAAATCAATGTTTGGTGAAAATTTTGCCTACTGCCTTGCTACTTGGCGTCGAATTGGAATTGGTATGTAATTCACCAAGATCGCATCACTGGCTTGTACCCGGACGTTAGCTATGAATTGGTTTGGAATTCACCAAGATCGTACTACTGGCTTGTACCCGGACGTTAGCTATGAATTGGTATGGAATTCACCAAGATCGGATTACTGGCTTGTACCCGGACGTTAGCTATGAATTGGTTTGGAATTCACCAAGATCGTATTACTGGCTTGCTACTAGGCGTCGAATTGGAAATTGTTTGGAATTCACCAAGATCGTACTACTGCCTTGCTACCAGGCGTCGAATTGGAATTGAACCAAATTCACCAAGATCGTACTACTGGCTTGTACCTGGACGTGAAAATGAAATCTCGTCTAAAATGTCACTACTGGCTTGTTACTGAAGCAGTAGCAATGCAGTAGTGGTCGAAATGACCGATTTGGCCAGTTTTGCTATCGTAAATGGATCTCGATAGCAGCGCGCACTCTGAAAAATGCATTCTTGTACCCAAATCTATGCACAGGGCTGCAGTAGTGCCTGCCAGTAGCAGTTTTGAGCCAAATTCGTCAAGTTGGCCGGAAATTTTTTTTTGGTGACAAGATAGCAAATTGTCTAGAATGGTTATAAAAGTGAGTTACATAGTCCATAGTGTCGTATTTAGTGAGAAAACAGCAAAACACGGATCGGGAATCGATCTGTGCACGGATCAAAGTGCTCGAAATGGACTGCAGATAGCATATCTAGTCGTCTTATGCCTAGTCTAGCACAGAAATATAGTTTAGTCGCACTCTGCAAACGATAATTTGGCAGTTCACTTTTCGAACGGCCCTTATGCCTGTAAAAAAGTGAACTGCCAAATACGATGGAAAAGGCGGCCGTTCCAGAATCGGCCATATTAGCCTGACTAGACTGCATCCCGTCCGCTCTGCAAAGTTAACCAGGCTCAAGCGTGGGTAGTACTCAGGTGGGTGACCACTGGGGAAGTCCACGTGCTGATTCTTTTTGCACATCCATTTACACATCCTTGATTACGAAATTTTTTACCACATGGTGTCACACACAGGCTTGTTCGGGGATCGACTGGCCGGCGGCAATCGTCGCCGCGAGCTCGACGCATGCCAATATCTCCGCTTCTAGGCCTTCCCGCGCGACGCCACTTGGAGACAACACGTATAACATCAATACAAAACATATCCTAGCTTCATAGCGCGCGCGCCGACTCGGAATACCCGCAAATGTCGTACCAGCCTGTCTCAGGATGGCGGCACAGGCCTCGGCGAGCTCGACAAACCTCCATATCTTCACTACCAGGTCGTCCCACGTGACGCCACTTTCGGAGCACCTGTTTAACATCATTACAAAGCATATCCTAGCTCGGCTGCATGGGCGCCGATTCGGAAGACTCACAGACCCGTTTCGTGAGTCAATCCCGTATGCAGCTCAGCATGCTCGATTGG